TTCATTTTGATGACAATTAATTGAATATGAGTAAACTATAATACCATAAAATTAGGTACAGTACAAAATCTGAAATCCAGACTTGTCGAGACTTCGGCGATTACGGATTTGGGATTTTTCCGGATATTAGATCACCAGTTTAAATCTAGTAAGATCGCATGTAGAAATTATAAAATTAAAAATATGAAATCATGATTTATGACATAATGAAGTATTTATGATCTAAAGGGTATCAAAATTTATATAAAAAAAAAGCTTAATATTTATTTGTTTACCTTATTAAACATTTCTTTCAATATCAGTTTTTTAAGTTGCTTAATTTTTTATGCTAATACTTTTTCTTTAATTCTGTAGACAGACATAATCTCTTATTTAGTTACATTATTGAAGTCCTGTAACTGTTGTGTCGAGAGTTCGACTAACTTGTCAATCGAAATTTTTTTGTTTTCAGTAACTTCTCTGTCTATTTCTTCAGTATCAGTAGCGGTATTTTCTGGATCTAGAACCATATTACAGATTTCATCATTCATTAATTGACTGATGATTGAGAAACATTGTCATAACACAAGGAAAAATTTCTTTTAGAGCATCTTCATTTATTACCGCTTCTCCACATTTCTTTACAAAATTCGTTAATTGCAAAATTTCACCTTTAATTTGCAATATCCGAAAACTTTTAAAATTTGCGGCTATCATCATCAAATTTAGCTATCGTTCACTTATACATATTTAGCTATGCATCATGAGCTTAGAGACTAACGACAAGTTATTCCATTAAATTTTATCTTGCTTCTATCTCGCACTAAGATAATTAAGCTTGAATTGTACAAGGCATATCCAGAAAGTAAGTTTCTCGATGTTTTATTCTTTAAAGTAAATGTAATTAGCTGTGTCAATTGCGCATGCGTAACAGATCTATGATGTATCAATCATATGCCAGCTGGACAGATCCTGCTTCGTGGTAGCAGTGGTCCAAAATGGAAGCTCTTATTCCTTCTCCCACCACCTGCAAGATTCCTTTGGCGATAAAGTTCTTGAATGCATAAAGCATTGTGCCAACTGAAATTCATCATCAGCTCTGTCATGTCTATGGGCCGAACATCATGAGTATGCAGATGGTGCTTCGCTGATATAGGCAGTTTTCGGAAGGTCGTCAAAGTGTCCATGATGAAAAGTGCAATGAGCAACCGTCCCTCATCAATGATGATCTTGTTGAGCTTGTGAAGCAGCGTGTGATGGAGAACCATTGCTTCACGATTACGTAGCTGAGCAACCATTTTCTGCCGATATCGTGATCCTTGTTCCATGAGATTGTCTGCTGTTCAAAAAATTGTGTACCAAGCAGGTGGCGAAAAACCCGACACTCGAACACAAAATTGAACGCTTAGGAGTAGCACTGACATTTCTGAAACAGTATCAGGATGACAGCAATGAGTTCGTCAACAGGATCATCACGGACAATGGCATCACTTGGATTTCGCACTTCACTCTGGAAACCAGGCAGTAGTCAATGCATTGGCAGCATAGCAGATCTCCCGTCAGGAAGAAATTCAAACAGATGCTGTCAGTACGAAAAGTGATGTGCACGGTGTTCTGCGACAGGAAGGGCATTCTGCTCATTGAGTTCCTTCCACGTGGTGAAACAGTAAACGCTCACTGTTACTGTGAAACACTGCGGAAACTGCAACGTGCCATTCAAAATAAGAGGCGTGGAATGCTTACTGCAGGTATTGTGCTCCTCCATGACAATGCTCGTCCATATATGGCTCGACGCACAGCAGATGTTTTGACGGAATTTGGCTGGGAGTTGTTTGATCATCCACTTTACAGCCCTGATCTTGCTCCCAGCGATTTTCACGTTTTCTTGCACTTCAAGAAATTCCTGTGCTCCGGTGAGCGTTTTGGCAATGACAAATAGCTGAAGACATCTATCACACGCTGGTTCCATTCACAGGCAACAAAGTTCTACGACAGAGGCATATAAAAGTTGATCCCACGATATGAAAAGTGTCTCAATTCTGATGGTAACTATGTTGAAAAATAGTTGAAACACTGCTGTGCTTGTTGCCAATTAATATGTTCCTGAACATGTGAGTTTTTGTTTTTTAATGGGGAAACTTACTTTTTGAATGCCCTACGTATTAGTTTATTATTTATTATACTTATGTCTATTTTTTACACATAATTAAGGCTTATCAGAGTTCTAAATAAATAAATTCCCACATATACTTAAGCCTTATTGAGGGCCGGCGTTAGATATAATACCGCCTGATGTAGTCTAAATTCTGTGACCAGTGCCGCCTCACCAGTCCTGGGATTGGTTCTGGGTTTATGTGAAAAACAAATAGGTTATTCTTAATTCAAATAGCCCTAAATGTAATCTTTGGGTCTATGAGTATCATCAACAAAATCTATTTTTAGCATATGGAAAGAAATTTTTGGTAAATTTCTCCTTGTCAACATTTTTTAGCACATTTAACTTAAATCTGTAATCATCGCCAAGTGTAATGTCAATTTTAAGGGTTACCATACTCCTTCAATATTAAATTACTAACATAACAAAATTGTTTAGGCATCGCTATGTGAGTCATTACTCAAGTTGTCATGTTTTGATAAACATTCGGTGATGAAAGGAAAGTATAATAAATAATGATTCACAAGGTTGGCATCAGATCAACGATGTATTTATGTGGAATGTTTTGGTTTGAGATGTGTGCCAAGCAGATACACAGCAACGGAGCCAAATTACTGATCGTACAAATTTATGCTAATTATTGTTTCTTCAATAACAAGGTATTTTATTTAGTGTCAAAGTGAAAGAATCAGGACTCTCCAGATGTTTTTTTACGCGCAGAGGGAAAAATCAAATGAGCATGCGTAAAGTCTACGAGAAAAATGTTGGTGGTTTTGAGGTCCGGATTTTAGATCATTCCGGATAATGGATGTCTGGATTTTGGCCTTCATACTGTATATATCCTAAGTCGTGCTTTCTAGGCATGGAAAACGCAATTTGAATTTTATCAATTGGCCCAGTAGAATGGGAGATATAGAACTGTCCCCGCTTTTTTTCCCCACAGTGTACATGTTGTATATTATTTTATTATTATTATATAGCAGTGTACATGCTAAATAGATGGCTGAAATGATAAACATAACACATTACAAAGCACACATAAAGACACACTAATATTATCATACTATGTTTTTTCAAGAACTTACCAATCTCACCATGTTACCATAAGCCAGATAGTAAAATTATAAATCTTATGCAGGAAAAATAAAGAAATACATGAGTAAATATGATATATTTTTCCACGAGTTATTTTGAAAAAATAATAAGTATAATTAATGTTACATTTGTACTCTTTTTAGACAGTATTTAAAACTTGCACATAATTTGTTAAAAATACTGAACCAAACATAATTTATGAAACAACAAATAAATGTTCCCATTCAGACAGAAATATACTGATAACATGAATGGAATGTTATAACAGACTATAAAATATCATCACCTTATTCCTTTTTAAAATTTTATAGATAATAATAAATGCATCCTTATAAGAATTTAATTTTATTTTTGAAATTTAAGAATTCTTCATCACAATCTGCTATCTGCAAATCTATACAGATGACATTATTTAATTCATTTTAATATTTCTGCCAAATAGCTACAAACAAACCCTGAAGATATTGGCTACTACCATTCAATAAAATAATTATTGACTGTTTAAATATAACAGAAATTTATGAGATAATATGAAAAAGCAAAAATTACAATGAGAAACTAACTAAAGAAATGTTATCCAGAATAACGGAAGAATGAAAATAAAACTCCAAAATTGAGAAATTACACTTGCTCTGTGAAGGTGTTAAATTCAGAGATTCTTTGAAACAGAAATCCTAATACCTAAAATATACCAGTAAAGACATAAATTTATATATAATTATTTTATATATAATATCAACAAAATCTATTTTTAGCACATGGAAAGAAATTTTTGTTAAATGTTTCCTCGTCAACATTTTTTAGTGCATTTAACTTATATCTGTAATCATTGCGAAGAGTAATGTCAACATAAAAGGTTATCATACTCCTTTGTTATTCAATTACTAACAAAAAAAAATTTTTTTAGGCATCGCTACATCAGTCATTACTCAAGTTGTCATGTGTTGATAAACATGCAGTGATGAAAGGAAAGTATTATAAATAATGATTCATTGTGTGCACGTTAGATCAACGTTGTATCTATGTGGAATGTTTCGGTTTGAGATGTGTTCCAAATTACTGATCGTACAAATTTATGCTAAAATGATTGTTTCTTCAGTAACAAGGTAGTTATTTAGTGTCGAAGTGAAATTAAGAATTGGGCTCTCCATCGAGTAGATATTTTATTATGTGCAGAGGAGGGAAAATCAAATGAGCATGCGTAAAGCCTATGAGAAAAATGTTGGTTAAAACCACCAACGTTTTTCTCCGAAATTTAGATCATTCCAGATAATGGACGTCAGGATTTTGGACTTTGTACTGTATACTTTAATTAAATAATGTATGCTATTGCGAATTTAGGTAGCTCATACATATTCTATAACACGTTTAATGATATTATCAATTTTGTATTACTTATGCTTCTTTTACCATAATAGTTTGGGTTTTCTAAGTATACTTTTACCATACCTATAACTGGCATATTTTTTTAGTCATACTCCTTAGTATCATAAAGTTAGGAGGTTTACACTAAATCATATCTCAGCTTTAAAAAAATACCAGAATTATTTGAAAAGTTTAGCAACATGCTGGAAACATTTGAAACCACTGGAAAGCACACAAAAATTTTAAATTAGCTTCATAACATTTCATTAAAAAAATCAATTTGAGCTATAATTTACAATTAAGGAAATATATAAAAATTAAATTTAAATCTAAATGCAAAGGTAACTAACTGCCACTTAGTCACAAAAGGTAATAAATTTTGTCATTATGAAATAACGAAACATACCTTTCTATATTTTCGACTTGAGAATGGTACAGAACAACCACTACGAGAGACGCAAATATGAAATAATCTGTAATGAATGGAACTGTTTAGAAAAGTTGGCAACTACATTTATACAATATCTGCTTCATGAGAACTAAAAAAATGAGCTGTCTTAACAGTAAGTAAAGAATTCGGCAAAATATAAATGCATTTTCATAAAACTCAATGATGTGAAAAGTAATATGCATTAATCTATAATAGTTTAACTTTGTAATACTAGCAAATAAAATAAAATTTTTATAGCAACTGTCAAAGCTTAGAATTTATTTGGCACTAAAAATAATTTGTTATTATTAAAAAACATTCCATGTCACTCATTTTCTTTTTAAAATATTTCCGCCCTATTCAAAGATTAATATCATATGATGGATGAATTTTGTCAAAATTACTTAAGTTGTTTACAATGATCTTTAGAAAACTGTTCTTAAGAATGATTAATCTCAAGCAAAAAACAAAATGACTATGTAATAAACTTTATCATTAATTTTTTTTCTTCTGTAAAGCCCTGTAAGCAAAGATCTAGACATTTTACAAACAAATTATACTAATGAGGAAAGCTTAGTCAAAAAATACATGAGTGCTATTCGTTGTCTAATCACCGTTTTGATATTTTCACCATTATTCGTACAAAATTTAATTAAAAGATTTATAAAAATCTTTACTAAGAAATTAATACCGATCATTTTTTTTCCAAGTTACATTGATTAGTATCATAATATCCAAACTTCATCTTTCAACCATTTATTACAAATGTTTTATCTAATTCCATGATTTTTTTGGTTTCCAAATAAATGATTCCTATCAGGCACTTTCAGGAATCCATTGAATTGTTCATACTGAAAGAATGTTGATTTTGGATGATTTATTAATAATAATGAAAACAGAAATAATATAAAATAAACCATAAATCTAATGTAACAAAAGTAATATAAATGAAAACCATAGGAACTTTTTACACATTAAAAACAGTATCATAGCCAATTTATATAACCAATATAAAAAAATATCATAATAAATATACATTTCATATGTAGAACACAATAATTGCACAAAAATAATTATATAGCAGAAATTATAAATTGCCTTACAATGACAAAAATTCACTAACCTAAAAATGACTTTATACACATTAAGTAAAAGTTCAGCTCCAATTCATTTATATATTTCTCATGTTTCATAGGTTCTTTCACAGTGGATTTATATGATGATGATGTTTTTACATAAGCATCACATAATATGAACAATATAATTAGTTTCCAAGCTGCCTAAAATTATAAAAAGATGTACATGAAAATCATGTGCATTGAACGTACATGAAAATATGTACATTACTGAAAGTAGTAATCTGTTACATTAACAAAAGAAAATATGTCAAGAAATAAAAAATTCAATCTTGAAAACACTTAACTCTTCATTATGTTAAAAAAATTAAAAACTAAAATAATGAGAAAAATATAATAAGCATTTAAATTTAATAAAAATTTTAGTTACGCTCATTAACAGTTTAAAAATCAGCATACTGTTACGTACGTTTTTCTCTTTCTTCACGTTCGTAGATTTGGAGTGAATAACGACGACACTTAGTGAAGTATTGAAACACACTTTATTTAGCCAATATTAATCAGGACAGCTCCAATAACACTTTTTACAGTCGTCGAAAATCTACTATAAACACGAGCAATCAGCGACACAGCCTTCACACTGTCAGGCAATAACGGTGAAGATAGCTTCTGTTAGCATTTAATTAGTTCCTTTATTAAAAACACATTCCGTCAAAACATTAATTGTTAAATACTTGCTTTATTCAGAAACATTACCGTCAACATTACTGCTCAAAAACTTACAGTTCAAAAATATTATCATTCTGAAAAAAAAACTGTTGTTGCCAATCGGGAAAATACATTTTAAATAAAATTAATACGTTGCGTTTACATTCGGGCATCCTGACTTAGTTACGACCTCGGAACATTAAGAACTTATATTCCCTTTTCCTTTCGTCTGTTTTATAAAATTTATCTCTCAGATTGTATTTATTATCAAAACTGTTTTTAAAACCCACTTTGAAATTATCATCTGTCTGCATGGAATCTTTAACATTTCTTTGTCTTGAATACTGATTATAGGATCCTTCATAAAATTTAGAACCAGATTTGGGCTTAAAATTATGCCTAAAAGTTTTCTTTTCTACTCGAAATACTTTTATCCCTGCCCGAATATTTTCATATTCATCTAGTTTTTCAGCCAACTCTTCAGGATTAATGAATTTAGACCAATCATCAAAGAAATGGTCTCGGATAGCAGCGGGGACTCTCTTCTTTAATTGATCAGTAATAATAAGTTGTTTTAAAGAGTCAAAATCTGTTACATTTAATCCAGCAAGCCACTCTTCAAAATAATTTTTTAATTCAAACGTGAAGTCCTTCCACGTATTACGTAACGTTTTAATATGATCAACGAACTTTTGCCGAAACTGTTCAGGGCTTAACTTAAATTTTCTCAGTAGCAGTTGCTTAACGTGCTTATAGTCGTTAGCTTTCTCTTCTGATTCACGGGCAATTAATTGAGTTATTTCATAAGGCAATAGACCCAACAGCTGAGAAACCCAGTTTTGTTCTTCTAACCCAATACGTCGTGCCTGTCTCTCAAATAAAACTAAATAAAAACTTATATCACCTTCATTCAAATCAAACTTATGCATTAATTTACTCATATCACAAATATTACTTCTACTAACATTAGAAGAAACAGAATCATTTACATTACTACTTCTGATTTCCGCTTCTATTTTCAATTTTTCAAGTTCAAAAGTTCTTTGCTTATCTCTTTCTATAATTTCCATTTCAAATGCTCTTTGCTTATCTTTTTCTAAAATTTCCATTTCAAATGCTCTTTGCTTATCTTTTTCTAAAATTTCTAACTTTTCCCTGTCTAAACGATCATTTATAATTCTATCTAGCATTTGTTTAGTAAAGTCTTCGTTATAATTCTTACTATTCAAAATCATATCTCTTAAGCCTACAATTTTAATATCAGAAGGGACATCTACATCAAGTTCCAAAGCAAGTTCTTTTAAATCACATTTTTTGCCTCTTGCCAATAAAGCCATCTTAGACTTCAATTTTCAAATACTAATACAATAATTATACTTAAGTTCTTTCCGTTTAATACTTAGACATAACATAAACAGTTTATAAATTCACGTACCTTTCTACTTTCAGTTTTGGCGAGTTTCCACATTCAGTTTAGGCTTAGCGTACGTTAAGGCAATACGTTGTTAAATCTAGATAATAATTCTAGTTTATCCCACTTCTGAAATGTTAGCATTTAATTAGTTCCTTTATTAAAAACACATTCCGTCAAAACATTAATTGTTAAATACTTGCTTTATTCAGAAACATTACCGTCAACATTACTGTTGAAAAACTTACAGTTCAAAAATATTATCGTTCTGAAAAAAAAACTGTTGTTCCCAATCGGGAAAATACATTTTAAATAAAATTAATACGTTGCGTTTACACTTCAAAGTACCAGAGTACAGCTTCCGACTCTGGTCGTTCTCGGAACTCTACGTGCTCTCGATACTCTCCACGTGATGCACTCGACGATACACAAGAGTATAGCTCTCGGCTGAGTACAGTCTAAGAAAAAAGTCAACGATGCACTAAAAGACTCTCTCGATGCACTCAACGACCAACTCGGTGCTAGACTTCGGGACACTTGTTTAATACCTGACTATCAGCTTGCTAGACGAGGCACACACACTAACTGACTGCAGACCAGCAGGGTTTATATAGCTTTCAGCTTGTGTTCGAGAACATTCTGGGCTACACTGGTAAGAATTCATTCCAGAAGGTTCTCCATCCATCCATGGTATATCGCCAAATGTGGCAACCATGCCTTTTGTCATTTTTACGGCAACCCTAAAACTGCTTTGCAGGGAAGCTATCTCACTGCACTTGTACATTTCGTAACAATACCTTTCGTAAACTTTCACACACACACTTATATAAAAAAATAATTATTTATATTTATTATTACATAATGTTTATTGATACATTTAGTTAGGGATCATATCAGTGAAACTGATTATGGACATTTCTTTTATATACATAGTGTGTTTACAAAAGGCAGTTAAAGACCTTATTTTCTTAAACACTGGTAAGTAGACATGCACTCTGAATTACAAATTTTTACAAAAGTTCAAGAGTTTTATGAAAACAGGTTCAGAACTAATAGTTTGATAAGTTTGAAACTGAAAAAGTTTGATAATAAAAATTAAAGTTTTAATTTGGTTTCTGTAGAATGAATGTTTATGTTTAGTAAACTGTTCCATACCTTTATGTATAAAATTGGTGGAGATGTTCCAAGAAAACATTTGCTCACTTTGAACATTTTTCAACACTTACTGGTCTAGTTATACAGGAAAAATTGATGTTAAACAAAGTAACAAAAACTAATTGCAACAAACATTCACGAAGGGTTGATAGAACCACTCCCAAACCCTTTTCATTGTAGAATGTATGGTTATAAGTGCAATAGTTAGGCAATAAGAATGCACTAAAATAAGCATATAAAAGTAGTTTATTGTGAACACTTTGCCAACAGACACACTCCTAATTATAGGATGTTTGCACACTTGCACCAACAGCTCTCGAAAAGGGAAAGTTTTCAAGCTGACATGCACAACTCAAGCTGGATTAGAAATGTTCACATGCCAGCCATTTGAGAACAGATTATACATCAGGTAAGAATTGTAACCTGATATTAGTACTACAGAACCCCAATATAGCAAGTTTTATGCAATCAATGTTTACATCTGTACCATGTGCAGCATTTACAAGAAATGGGGCACAGAAATCCCACACCAGTTCTTACAGGAAAGTGAAATAGAATTCTCAGCACAAGTTTTATTCATGGATGAGGCCACATTTACCAGAAAAGGCATTTGCAATGCCCGAAATATGCATGTTTGGCCAATATGTAATCTGCACACAATACATCAACATTATTACCCATGACACTTCACAGTGAATGAATGGGTAACAACTATGTCACAGGTCTACCCATTACTGAAATATCTAGATGGGGTAAGTTACTCGATAGTCTTCCAACAAGAGCTCCCAGAACTTTTGCAGCATGTATCACTAGTATATGATTCCAGCATGATAGTGGAGCAGTGCTTTTAGCTCATAAGGAGCTAGACCTTGTACCTACTGATTTCTGACAAAACTTCTGGGCAACATCTCTTGTAATGGCTGTCACTGTAAACAATTACTTGAAATACACTAGTAATCTTTATAAAGTTTATATAAAAATATTATTAGTACATTTTATTTTCTTCTATTATCTTGAATTCTGCCTAAACAATTGCTTATAATCTTCTGAAAAGTGTAAAAACAATGATATAGTTTTTGCATTTGGCTCTTGCTGTTGTACAGTGATATTGTACTGAGTGTGAAAATTTTATAATTCCAAAATGAGATAATTACATTTGATTAAAAATTTATCATATGATCATTTTTGTAATGTTTTGTTTTGTTAAATAGGTGCAACTTTGTTACTCCCTATATTTTAGTATATTAATATCAACAAGGAAAAAGTGAAAACAACCTAAAATACTTTTCTAGCAATCCCTTAAACTAATTGTAAACAAAAACTAACATATTGCACTTTATTCCCCAAAATATAATTTCATTAATATTTTATAAATTACAAGCTTTTTACTTTAAATTTTTTACTTAAAAGAAGAACATGAATATCAAGAAAAGCTACGGCTAACAGATTTTAAAACTCGGTTTGAAGACCTGAAAAGTTTTAAAATGACAATCTTTTTTTTTTTTTTTTTTTTTTTTGTCAATCCTTTTGCTTTTAACATTACTGAAGATGGCTTTCAAATTTCTGAAATAGTGCTTGCCGATAAAGCAGCTGGGCAAATGCAATTGGCGGAGATGCAAGAAGACCAATCATTACAAATGCAATATAAATCTCTTTCTCTGATGGCATTTTGGAAACTTGTCCCAGAAAAAAAGTATTCTCATTTGACAGTAGCTGCCAGTCGAATAATTTAAGTTTTTGGAAGTTATATTCCTGTCAATCATTTTACTCAATTATGAAGTTTACAAAACCAAAACATGGCACGCAGTTGACACATCAGCTCCTAACACAGCTGATGTGTACTGCTTTAACAAATTACACACCAGATTGCAAAGCTCTGGCAAAATGCTTGCAGACTCACAAGTGCAATAAGTAATATTTACTAATTTTC